CAATATTCCTATAAATGATTGCTTTTGTAAAACATAAAAACACAAGAACAACTTAAGATCCAGCAGAAGATTCCACATTTTTGACTGGAACTTTAAAAATAAATTATTTTGTTGAAGTCAAGACGGAATAAGACAAGACGGGACAACTCTTCTTTACGTCATGTGACAAGCGCAGGCCCCTCCCACTTTTGCAGCTGCGCGTATAACTCGCTGGGCTTGCGATAGTTTACATCGGATACCGTACTGCTGATCAACTTCGACAGTTCTGCTGCACGCACTAGTACTGTAATTTAGCCTTGGGAAAGAGCGATATAAATAGATAGGTAGATAGATTGATAGATTATCTGGATAGATGATAGATATGATAGACAGAATTATATTATAATGAGTGATAGATTTAGATCTAAAATCTAGACTAGATTTAGATCTAGGCTAATACTGCGCCCCAAGAGCCAAAGAGCGCACAGTTGGACAAACTGTGATACTTTTACTATATTATTATTATTATATCTAGTGAGGGCGAAGACCCAAATGGAGAATCTTTGTTTCCTCACCGTTAAATTGCTGGAGATACAGTTTCAGCAGTTTGTCTTTAGGTTCTTATGAACAGTGCTGGAGCTTCTTAAGCTTCCGGGCTCGACTTGTTTGTGTGGCTTCTTTTTTGGTGCTGTGTTTTTAAGTTTCATGATGGATTCTGACTGTGAGGAACAAGCTTGCTATGTAGTCAACAGTATGGCAGTGGCAATTTGAACTTTTCAGGTGCTGACAGCATGAGAGGTCCAAAAGCTTCGTTTTAAAGTGCTGTCTGATGTTTGTTTTTCTCAAAGTAGCTTGTAGATGTGTTTGAAAAGTAGCTTCAAATAGACACACAGCTTCTACCAGCAGGAAACTTGGCTTGGCAAGACCGGCTTCACTTGTGCTGGTATTTTACGATTTGCTATTAACCCTTCCAGCCCCAAGCGCGTATATTTTCAGCAGAGCTTGTACCTCCCACCATCCCAAGAGCGTATATTTTCAGCAGAGCTTGTACCTCCCACCATCCCAAGCGC